TTTGTTGACGCCTCTTCTGCGTCTGCTGACGCGGTGACGTGATCTTTCTCACCTAGCCTGACGGGGTGGCGGGTCGCACCGGCTGGTTTTCAGACGTTGAACAGCCCGGGGCTGCTGGAACAAGCCTCGCGAGGTCGCGGTGTGTGACCCTTCCCCTGCGTCGCTGCGCCCACTTGGTTGTCGCGTCTCCGTCCACGAGGGACGTGGGTCTGTGGTTTCTCCGCCCTGTTTTTGTGTCTCCGCCCTGTTGGTGTCCCAGCGACTCTGCCTCCGTCAGACAAGACTCTCCCTCCTGCCGTGTGTCCTGGGAGGGACTGTGCGCCGTCCTCGTGCAAACATTTGGCAGTGTTCTCCCCCAAACCAACTGAGTTTGCAGATCTCCTTCTCAGGAGTTCCGATGAATTCTGCTCCTTCCTGTCCCCTGTCCCTAGCGCTGTTCGGAGTCCATGTCCTGCTGGCTGCCTCGCGGCAGCTGTGTGGCTCTGGAAGCAGCCCGCCCCACTGTCCGTGGTCCGGCTGCACCGTCGTGCCAGCGGCTGGGCAGCTCGTCCTCCGCCAGGCTCGCAGGGGCTTCGGTGCCGTCGCCGGTCCACGCACCAGCTCCCAGTCTGCTGATTTCCCCCGTTTTCCTGTCCTCCCTCCGATTGGTTTCTGCTCTCGTCTTCACCATTTCCATCTCCTGACTTCTCTGCAGTCGTTGTCTGTTTTCCTGCTCTTCCCGGGTCCTTACGGTGGGAGCTCCGGTGCAGAGCAGAGACCTCTGTCCCCTCCTGCACACGTCCCACCCCCCCACCAGCCGCGCCACCCGGCAGACGTGGGTGCCCCGTGCTTCCCCCGTCGCTCAGTCCACGCTCAGTCCCGCCCGTGTGTCCGTGTCTCCCGAGACCACCTCTTCGGCCCGGGGGTTAGCTAGAAGGGGGCCATTCAGTTCCAAGCACCTGGAGACGTTTCTCTCGTCTTCCTGTCGCTGCAATTCAGTCTGACCCCGCTGCGGCCGGACAGCGCTCTGCGCCGACTGCGTCTGCCGCGAGTGCCGAGCGTGTGGGTCCCGGGCCCGATGCGCTGCCTGCCTCGGCGTGGACCCTCGAGGGGAGTGTGAGCCCTGCCGGCACTGGGCGAGGTGCCCTGGGAAGGTCCACGGCGGCCCGCTGGCCATCCTTGCCGGTGTCCTGTCCAGCTGTTCAACCGGTCACTGGGAAAGCGTGCCGAGTGTCCGACCACAGCCGCGGCTTTGTCTGTCCCTCCTTCCGGTCCCAGCGGCGGCTTCCGGGTCACGTGTTTGCGGCCCCGCCGCCTGGCACGCGTGCGCATGCGCTAGGGCCGCGGGTCTGCCGGCAGGCCGTCCGTTTTCCCGTGCGCAGCGTCCCTCCCCGACTCCGGGGACTCTCTGCTCTGACGCCCACGTCGTCGGACGACAGCACGCCACCACGGCCCGTGTCCGAGTCTGCCCGTGTCGGCGCGTGCCTGCAGGGGCTTGTGTAGGCGGGCACGCGTGCGGTCGGGTCCTGTGTAGCCCCCTCCGCCGAGCTCTGTCCGTGGTCGGCGCGTCGAGGTCGTTTCCGGTTCCCGTGACCGTCGCTGCGTTCCGGCCCGAGTCCGCCGTTTCAGTCTCTGTTTGCCGTGCGCCCGCCTCATTCCTCCGCTTCCTTTCTCGCCACTTCCCGCGAGTTTAAGTTATTTCCCTTTACGTGTAGTGTTTTTTATCACATCTCCGGGGATCTCCAGTTTTTTGTCAGTCTGTAGTGGCGGTGTCAGTGTGGCGTTGTACACACGTTTGTGCCCTGGTCTCCTGCTGGAATCATCCTCCTAGGGCTCCGATGACAGCAGAGCTCCATAACTGTTTCTTTGGGGGGGCTCCGCAGGCCCCCGCCCCCACCACGGATGAGAACAAGTCCACCAAGACGCGATCTGCTTGGGGAGGAAAGGTGGCTGACCTCTCAGAGGAGAAGGGCCGGGAGCCTGTTCCTCCATGGGCTTTTGTTGGATTTGGTTTGCACAGGAACCCAGGGCACGTACGTAAAGCTCAGTCCTTGTCAGGCAGTGAGGATCAGGCAGTAAGGTAACATTCAAAGAACTGTGAGGGCCTATTCTCAGTCAGGGTCAGCTAGCTAAAGGGCCATGAAACTTTGGGGAAGCAAACTCATTCTGTGCTTGGACCCTCATCATTTAAATTGAGGGTATTCTTAGCAAAGCAGGTTTCACAGGATTTTGTGGATTCTTTCTTAGGCCTGATCACCCCAGGGAACCCACCCTTTCCAGCCCAGGGCCACACCCACCCCCGGCATTGTTTCAGGCTTAAGTCGGGCAGGGGAAGTAAGGCAGCCAAGAGATCAGGAGACTTCTTACAGACAGCATGAGGACTCGGGCTGTGTCAAAGCTGAGGGGCAAGGGTCCATCACCCCCTTTTTCTGTAGCTCCCCCAAGTCCTTCTCTGAGGGCACCTTTGACCATGCCTATCTCAGGTCATCCCTCCCTTGAGGAATCATACCCGTCATTGGCTAACCGGTCATGCCTTGGGGCCAGGCAGGGTGAAGTAAAAGGGGCAGAGGCAGCACCCCTGCCAGGGAGACAAGCTTTGTCTCCTTAGTGGCTTATGGTCCCAAAGTCTCTCACTCAGCCTTAGCCTTGGGGGGCTTACAGGTTGGCTCCCAACACGGTTCCTCCACTTGGCGTCTGGAACCCCATCGGCCGGTGTCACCGGTGGAACCGCTGCAGCCACCAAACGTGATTTAGGAGCCCCAAGAGGAGCAGGAGAGCCTGTTGATTTACCGTCTTTCTCTCCTTCCTGGCGTCGGCGGTTCCCTCTGACATCGTTTTCTTTCTGTTCCGAGAACGTCCCGTGGCCGTCCATTCGGGGGACGGGTTCTCTCTGCCCTTCACCCGGGCACAGCTGCCGTCTCCCCTGAAGGCTGTCGTCAGCCGACCGGGTCCTGCGAGCTGGCCCCTGTCTTCCAGCTCCCCGCTCGGTGCCGCCGCCGCCACCCCCTGGCCTGGGCCCTTCCCAGGGGAAGTCCTCTGTCCCTTGGGTTGTTTTTCCTTCCAGTTGTCATTTTCCTGTGGCCTCTTTCAAGGGTTTTTCTTTAATTTTCAGAGGTTTAGTTAGGGTGTGCATTGGCTTGGGTTTATCCTGTGAGTTTGCTTAACTTCTTGAATCTGTGGGTTCTCATCTTCTGCCGTATTGGGGAGATTTCCGGCCGTTAGTTTCCAGGCCGCCCTCTCTCTGCTCCTGCAGGGTCCCCGGCCGGACGGGCGACCTCCTGTGGGTGTCGGCGTCCCCACGGCCGTCGGCCTCCTCCTCCAGCCCCTGTCTCTGTCCCGTCGGTGGGTTCGTTTCTCTTCCCTCGTCTCCAGTTCTGCCACTGAGCCCACCCACCGAGCTCAGACTTGGGTTATTGTAGTTTGGGGTTTTAAAATTTCCTGTTTGGTTTTTCTTTGTATTTTCAGTGTTTTGTTTTGTTTTGTTTTGTTTTGTTTTGGCTGAGTCTTAATTTTTTTCCTTTGGTCTCTGTCATGTTCTAGTTGCTGCTGAAACCGTGTCACAGTGGCTCCTTGAGCTGCCTGTCAGACACTTCTGCCATCTGGGTCCCTGTGGATTGTCCCGTTCGGTCTCATAGGCTCCTGTTCTTGTTTGAGTGATTGTCGTCTGAAACCAGAACTTTTGGGGAAGGGGGGGACTTGGGGTTCCCCTCGCCCTCTGTTTCAGCAGCCTCCTCAGAGCGCCACTCCGTGGGGAGGGCATCCAGTCACTCCCGGGTAGGGATAGGAATCCTGGGTCAGGGCGCAGGTAGGCTCCTGACCGCCCCGCCGCCCCCCCCCCGAGGGGATGAGCCCTCAGGGGTTGCAGGTCGAAGTGTGGGCAGCAGCGCCTCCGGGATGACGGGGGTGTGGCTCGGGCAGCTTCTGTCCGTGCAGCTCGGCCGCCCTCTCCTGGGCGTCTGCGGGAGCAGCTGTGGGTGGGGCTTGTCTGCTCCGGAAGGGGTTCCAGGCTCCAGGTTCTTGGCTCCAGGTCGGGGACATGGGGCCCAGGAGGAAACCCGGGCGCCACTGCTCCGCCTTCCTTCCCCCTTTTCCGGTCGTCTGCCGTGTGGCGTCTGAGTTCTAGGTGTGCCTGATGGGCAACAGGGAGGAGAGTCTTCTCCACCTGCCCGGAGACTGGCCCTGTGGGTTTGATTTCTCAAAAGACCCGAGAATTCAGGAGCAGGACAGGCCTCTGTTGGGGTGGGAGCCCACTCCGCGGTGTCCCTGGCGGTTCCCCTCTGAGTCTCTGCCCTTGGAGACCAGCACGTGGCCTCCGAGAGGGGGCCTTCCCTCCCATCCCAGCAGCGTGAGGTGCCCACGCCGCGCGGGTGCTCGGGTGGCCACGGCCATCAGTCGGGGCCCTTGGTCCCACCGAGGCTGTCGGCCGGAGTCCTCCGTAGGTGAAGGGTTAGGGCTGGGCCGGGAGAGCGGGTCCAGAGCGTGCAGCCGGGATCCCCAGGTGCAGGGACGGCTGTGCGGCCCTCGCTGTGCAGCGGTTGCCGCACTCCTGCAGGCAGGCAGCCGGCTGCTCCGTCTCCCAGCCCTGTCACTGGCCGCACACGAGTGTCGCCGCCGCAGGAGACTCACGGCCCCTTCTGCTCCACTTCCTCATTTCCTGCCTCAGCCCTCCACCCCGATCTGCTCCTCCTCTGCTCTCTGACTGACCGACCCAGTGCCTTTGCAGACCAACACTGTCTGGTGTCCGTGGGGCCTTGAGATGCTCTTCTCTCCAAATCACAAGTAATTGGTGCCCTGGACTAACGGATGCACATTGAACTTGATCCTCATTTACCTACAACTCCCCGTAAAATTCTCAGCTTCTATTTGTTGCTAATCTGTGTTTCTAGCAGTAAAATATTGTTTGTACAAATCAGAGCTTTTTATGGTTTTCCTCTTCTCTTGTCTCACCCCTGGGGAGCCCCTCCCCCATGTCACGAACTGTGCCCCCTGTGCGGCTGTGCCCGTCTCTCCTCGCCCTGCAGGGTTCTACGGCCTGGATGAGTCCGACCTGGACAAGGTCTTCCACCTGCCGACCACCACGTTCATCGGCGGGCAGGAGTCGGCACTCCCGCTGCGCGAGATCATCCGGCGGCTGGAGGTGAGGGGCGCGTGCCGGCCCGGGAAGCCTCCCAGTGGGTGCGGTTTCCTTTGTCTCCTTTTTGTTACTGTAAGGGGAAAGGAACCTCTTTCTGCTCTTTTGATAAATGAAAATCTACGGCTCTTCTTTTTTCAAAGATTTTATTCGTTTATTGTTCAGAGAGGGGATGGGAAGGAGAAAGAGAAGGAAAGAAACATCAGCGTGTGGTTGCTTCTCATGCGCCCCCTACTGGGGGCCTGGCCCACAACCCAGGCCTGTGCCCTGACTGGGGATTGAACTGGCGACCCTCTGGTTCACAGGCTGGTGCTCAGTCCACTGAGCCACACCAGCCAGGGCTGGTTTTTCTTTTTGTAATGAATCATAAGAAGGAGAAAATTTTCTGTGGGTTCCAGTCCTAGTGGGAGTTTGTTTCCGGCATGAGCAGGCCTGGCCCAAACACACGAGCCCAAGCTGTGGGGTCGCTCCTTTCCCCCACTTTCCTCTTTCCCTCCTCCCCTCTGGCCTCAGTGGGCACTGAGCTGGCAGGGCACCCCCCGCACGCACGCACGCACGCAGTGGCTCTGGGGCCTTCGAAGGGGCGGCCCTGTCCCTCCCAGCTGTGGCCGAGCAGGCAGCGGCCAGCTGGGGGACTCCCCTGTGTGTGGCGCAGATGGCCTACTGCCAGCACATCGGTGTGGAGTTCATGTTCATCAACGACCTGGAGCAGTGCCAGTGGATCCGCCAGAAGTTCGAGACGCCCGGGGCCATGCAGTTCACCAGCGAGGAGAAGCGCACCCTGCTGGCCCGGCTGGTGCGGTCCACCAGGTGGGGGCTGCGCGCCGGGCGGCCTGTGGCGGGGGGGCCCGGCCCCTGGGGAGCGGGGCGGCCCCGCGGCCGCTGCTCAGGGCCGCCGGCTCCCATCCAGGTTCGAGGAGTTCCTGCAGCGCAAGTGGTCGTCCGAGAAGCGCTTCGGCCTGGAAGGCTGTGAGGTGTTGATCCCCGCCCTCAAGACCATCATCGACAAGTCCAGCGAGAACGGCGTGGACTACGTGATCATGGGGATGCCGCACAGGTGCCGCCCCCCGGCCAGCCCGCCCTCCCGGCACCCCTGACCCCCGCGGCCCTCGCTGTGCGGGCGGCCGTCATGCCCAAGGCCACGGGTGGCTGCCGGCAGGGGTGCCAGCCTTGCGCGCGCGCCAGAGCCGCAGCGTGGCGGGGCCGGCCTGAGGGAGGGCTGTTCCGTGACAGCGGCTGACACAGCTCCACCTCCCTCCTGCCTCGCTGTGCCCGCGTGCGGGGAAGCGGACGGGGGGTGTCCCCCACCAGCTCTGGTCTCAGTGCCTCTCGGGCAGCAAACCGAGGTGCTGCCCACCGCTCAGGGGAGGTAGGGGTCCCTGGGGCCCTGCTGGGGCCCTGCTCGCGCCCTGCTGACGCCCACGTGTCCCAGGGGGCGGCTGAACGTGCTGGCGAACGTCATCAGGAAGGAGCTGGAGCAGATCTTCTGCCAGTTCGATTCGAAGCTGGAGGCCGCTGACGAGGTGAGCCTGGCTTCCAGGAGGAAGTCGGCGCGGCTGCAGCCCGCGCCACCAGGGAAGTCTTGCGGGGGGCAGCACCCCGTTCCCCGAGCAGGTGGCCAGTGGCTGGCCTGCGGGAGGGTGGAGGGACGGCCGCCCGGGCAGCGTCCCAGCAGGGCTGTCGTGCCGCCCAGGACCGAGCCCCCACCGTCTGTCCTCAGGGCTCTGGGGACGTGAAGTACCACCTGGGCATGTACCACCGGCGCATCAACCGTGTGACCGACAGGAACATCACCCTATCGCTGGTGGCGAACCCTTCGCACCTCGAGGCGGCCGACCCCGTGGTGATGGGCAAGACCAAGGCCGAGCAGTTCTACTGCGGGGACACCGAGGGGAAGAAGGTGAGGCCACAGGGCCCAGGCGGCGCGCGGCCCCGGGCACATGGGGCGTCGGTGTCTGGACCTGAGCGGAGGCCTGTGAGCAGGCCCGGGCAGGGCAGCAGCGGGGGCCCGTCTGCCCCCCGTGTGTGCGTGTGCGCGTGGGGCCCGTGTCGCGGGCGTCGCTGTGGACGGAGGCGCATCCGCCGAGCAGGTGGGCTGCCTTCCCAGGTGTGGAGGAGCCTGCGGGAGGCACCGTGGACGCACAGGTGGGCGCCGTGTGTGCCGTGAACGCCGAGCACCGGTTGGTGCGGGACCTGACCACCGCCGTGTCTGTCAGATCACGACCCTGAGGCCACGCGGGCAGTGCACCGCGCGTGCCGGCGTCGGCGTGCGCTCTGGGGGTGCGGAGTTGGCGCCGCCGCTCTGCTTTTAGCTCCCACTCCCTCCGGAAGGGAGGGCGTCGTGCAGGAAGCCGGGAGCACGCCACGTGGGGAGCGCTGTGCGCCGGCTCCGAGCGCAGCGAGAGGCAGGCGCCCCTCGTCCGCGGAGCAGGGGGCCCTCAGCTCTGACGGACAGGGAGCGGGGCGGGGAGGGCGTCTCTGCAGGAGGAAGCGGGGGTGGGACAGAGGGTCAGTTCACAGGGCTCTGCCCTGAAACCCCAGGAGTCGGCTGGCCCTGTGCTTGCGCCTGAGAAGAGAAGCTGCCACCGGCAGCGACGGGCCCGGCCCAGGCGGCCCTGGCCCCAGGACACGGCCCCAGCGCTGCAGAGGACACCCGCTGCAGAGGACGAGCCTGGTCCGGCGAGGGTGTCAGGCTGGGGGGCCCGGGCAGTGCCCCCCACTCCAGGAGGCACCTGCCTCCCACGCAGCCCCCGGCGCGGTGGCCCTGGAGGGGTTGGGGCGGATCGCCGACCAGCACCTCCACCTCCAGCGTGTCCACTGCTGTTCCTGGAGGGACGTGTGGGGTCCGGAGAGGAACAAGGTCACAGGAGGCTCCGTGTGACTCCGGTGCTCCTAAACTACAGACAAAAGCCGTTCAGGCCGTGCGCAGCTGGGGCGCTAGAAGCATCCAGAAAAGCAGTGAGATAGGTTTTCTGATGACCACACCCCAGTGGGCACGGGAGGCAGAAGGGACCGTGACCCGCACACTCAGGGCAGCTCAGCCTGGGGGCCTGGCTAGTGCCCCCAGACTCGGGCGGGCAGCCGGGAGGACTGGGGCGGGGGGGGCAGCAGGTGTCGTGGCTACGCCGCCCGTGCAGAGACTGGGAGTCTGTGTGAGTACAGCCATACGCTTGTCCCCAGCTCTGTGCTGGGGCCTGGGGGTGGCGCTCTGTCCGGTCTGCAGCCCAGCTCCTGGGAGGGTCCGAGTGTGAGCCAGGGCCCCCGGTCGTGTCCGGGGCAGTGGGACAGGTCAGGTTCCCCCTACTGGGTGACACTGAGGCCCGGGAGCACGTGTCCGTGCAGAGGGTGAAGAGTGAGGGTGCCACGGGCCTCGGAGGACAGAACGCAGGTTCCCTCCCCTCTGCCGCTGTCCGTGTTCCCCAGCAGGCGCGGCGAGTTGACGGGGGGAGACGGGCAGGGGGGCAGGGGGCAGGCCAGCGCAGGCGTGTCCTGGCGTGCCGCGAGCCCCCGCTGAGGCTGGTCCTGAGGGCCAGTGTGGGGCCTGGACAGGACGGGGCAGGGGCGGCCCTCCCGCAGGCCCCGCACCCACAGGGGCGCCGGGCCAGCACGGCCTCCCCAGCGGGGGCTCCTGCGGGCTGTTCCGGGGCCATGCGCATCAGCTGCTGGCAGGCCAGGGGCTGGGCAGGGTCTCGGGTCCTGGTGCTCTCCTGCCACTTTCTTTCTAACTTTGAAATGGGTTCGCTTCAAAGCTTTTTTATGGGTTTTATTTATTTAGAGAGAGGGTAAGGGAGAGAGGAAGAGAGACAGTGTGGCTGCCTCTCCCTCGCCCCACCCCCACCCCCCGGGGCCCTGGCCCACGTCCCAGGCCTGTGCTCCGACTGCTCACGAACCGGCGGCCGTTTGGTTCCCAGACAGACGCTCATCCCACTGAGCCGCACCAGCCAGGGCTCAGAAGACGTTTTTTGACTAGTGGGCTGTGACTTGATCTGCAGTGGGCCTGCAGACAAGGTGGTCAGGATGGGGCTGGATTTGCGACTTCCCTCACGTGTCTGCAGGTCATGTCCATCCTTCTGCACGGGGACGCCGCGTTTGCTGGCCAGGGCATCGTGTACGAGACCTTCCATCTGAGCGACCTGCCATCCTACACGACTCACGGCACCGTCCACGTGGTCGTCAACAACCAGGTAGCCTGGTGGGAAGGCCACAGAAGCCACGGCAGCCACGCCCTCCCCCACCGCAGCCTGCCGGGGCCAGGCCCCTGGTCTTGCCCGCCCCCTGGTCTTGCCCGCCCCCTGGCCAGACCGTGTGTCCCTGCAGATCGGCTTCACCACGGACCCCCGCATGGCCCGCTCCTCGCCCTACCCCACCGACGTGGCGCGCGTCGTGAACGCCCCCATCTTCCACGTAAACGCGGACGACCCCGAGGCCGTCATGTACGTGTGCAAGGTGGCCGCTGAGTGGAGGAGCACCTTCCACAAGGACGTGGTGGTGGACCTGGTGAGCGCCCGGCCCGGGGCCCCAGCGCTGGAGGGCCCCCGGGAGCCCAGCCCGGGCGGGGCGGCCGTGCAGGGAGGCAGCTGGGCCCGTCCCAGGACACCGCTGGGTCCCCGTCCTCGCGCAGCGACAGTGCAGCTGCGGGGGCAGGGGCACGACACGGCTCCCTGACGCCGCCCCGCCGGCCCCCGCCGTCCCCAGGTGTGCTACCGGCGCAACGGCCACAACGAGATGGACGAGCCCATGTTCACGCAGCCGCTCATGTACAAGCAGATCCGCAAGCAGAAGCCGGTGCTGCAGAAGTACGCTGAGCTGCTGGTGTCGCAGGGCGTGGTCAACCAGCCCGAGTACGAGGTGCGTCCGCCCGCGCGGCCCGAGGCCCGGCCCGGTGCGCGCTGGCAGAGTCGCAAAGTGTGTCCCCGGTGCGGGAGGTGCGGGCGCCTGGGGACCTCCACGGGGAGGGGGGGCCCGCTTGTGGGCCTGGTGGAGCGCCTGGGAGAGAAGCGATGCAGGTCCCGGTGGGGGGCGCGCAGAGGGAGGGGAGGGAGGGAGGCCCCCGAGCAGCGTCGGAGCAGGTGTAGGGCGGCGCGTGCTGCGGGGGGCCCTGTGGGGGCCGCAGGAGCCGGGAGAGCCGGCCCGAGGTGGGAAAGTGGGTGGGGTCGGGGCTCCGACCTGCTGGGAACATGGGCCGTGCACTGGGGCCGGCCGGGCCGGGCCAGGCCAGGCGGAGCTCCCTGACGCCGGCCGGCGCGCCCGCAGGAGGAGATCTCCAAGTACGACAAGATCTGCGAGGAGGCTTTCGCCCGGTCCAAGGACGAGAAGATCCTGCACATCAAGCACTGGCTGGACTCCCCGTGGCCTGGTGAGCGCAGGCATCGCCGGCCGGCCCCCGGCACCCTGAGGCCCCGTCGTCAGACCCCGACACCCCTCCCGAGGGCGTGCGGCCCGGGCCTCTGCGCGGCGTCTCGTGGGCGCCAGTGCGGCCAGGCGTCAGCGTGTCCTCTGCCCCAGGTTTCTTCACGCTGGACGGGCAGCCCCGGAGCATGACCTGCCCCTCCACGGGCCTGGCGGAGGACATCCTCACACACATCGGCAACGTGGCCAGCTCCGTGCCAGTGGAGAACTTCACCATCCACGGGGGTGAGGGCGCCGCCCTGGCCAGGGGCCCAGTGCAGCGGACGGTCCCCCCCGCTGGGCCCGACCCCGTGCGCTGTGGCCCCTGCCCCATCCCCGGCTGGGGCCGAGGGCAGGGGCCCCTCCGCTCCCCGACCCTGCCCCGCGTGGTCCTCCGTGGCGGCTCTGGAGCGAGGGCTGAGCTGTCACAGCCCGCTCTGGCCGCTCCCTCCCCCACTCTCCCCGGGGCTGCCCTTGTCTCGGGAGATCGGGGCCGCTGGTGAGCCCCTGTGTCCGCAGGGCTGAGCCGGATCTTGAAGACGCGGGGGGAGATGGTGAAGAACAGGACCGTGGACTGGGCCCTGGCGGAGTACATGGCCTTCGGCTCTCTGCTCAAGGAGGGCATCCACATCCGCCTGAGCGGCCAGGACGTGGAGCGGGGCACCTTCAGGTGCGGCCGGGCCCCCACGCGTGGGGCATGGGGGGGCGGGGGCCGTTCTCTTCCGGGAGAAAGCACGAGGGCTCGGTTGCCGGCTTGGTGACTCGAACCCAGAACCCGCCGGCCCTGATTGGGCTGCTGGGTGAGGCGCGCGGGCTCACGGCTGTCTGCCGGGCAGAGGCAGCGGTCCCGCCTCTGACCCCTGCCCTCACCCCGCAGCCACCGCCACCACGTGCTCCACGACCAGAACGTGGACAAGAAGACCTGCATCCCCATGAACCACCTGTGGCCCCAGCAGGCCCCCTACACCGTGTGCAACAGCTCGCTGTCCGAGTACGGCGTCCTGGGTGAGCGAGCGAGCCCCCCCCCCGCCCCACCCCGCCTCCCTGAGCCCTGTCCCCGCCCCCGTTCTCCTGACACCACTGCCCCGCCGCTGCCCCGCAGGCTTCGAGCTGGGCTTCGCCATGGCCAGCCCCAACGCCCTGGTGCTCTGGGAGGCCCAGTTCGGGGACTTCCACAACACAGCCCAGTGCATCATCGACCAGTTCATCTGCCCCGGGCAGGCCAAGTGGGTGCGGCAGAACGGCATCGTGCTCCTGCTGCCCCACGGCATGGAGGGCATGGTGAGCCTGGCGCCCGCCGAGCCCGGGTGGGCCTGTCCGGGCAGGGGCGCATCCTGTGCTGCGGGGGGAGGGGGCGGGGGGGAGTCCAGCCGCCGGCAGGGAGCAGCCCCCGTGGGGCGCAGAGCGGGAGGAGCGGGCTGTGACTGCCGGCTGCCCGCAGGGCCCAGAGCACTCCTCCGCCCGGCCCGAGCGCTTCCTGCAGATGTGCAACGATGACCCCGACGTCCTGCCGGTGAGCCGCGCGTCGCCCGGCGTGGTGGGGGCGGGGGGCTGCCCCGAACCCGACCCCTGACCCCTGACCCCTGAGAACCGGCAACCGTCGCGGTGGGAGGCAGCGGGCGGGCGGGGCGATCACAGGGACGTGGAGGCCGGGGCGTGTCTGAAGGGGCCGGAGGGAGGCCTAGCCCGGGCTGGCGGCCTGGCGGCTGCTGTGGGGGGACTGCTGTGGGGGGACTGCTGTGGGGGGACTGCTGTGGGGGGAGCGGGGCCCTGAGCGCCCCGCCCCTCCCGCCACAGGACCTGCAGCAGGACAACTTCGACATCGGCCAGCTCTACGACTGCAACTGGGTGGTGGTCAACTGCTCCACGCCCGGCAACTTCTTCCACGTGCTGCGCCGCCAGATCCTGCTGCCCTTCCGCAAGCCGGTCAGTGGCGCCCCCGCTCGGGAGCCCTGGCCAGGGAGAGGGACGCGTGGGCAGTGGGCACGCTGGGGCGCTGAGCTTGGGAGGCAGGTGGGCCCCAGCCCGGGCTGCCTGGGCAGGGCATCGCAGGGTGAGTGGGAGCGTGCGGAGGCCCCGAGGGGGTGCACCCCTGGCTGCTGCAGGTCAAAGGGCAAGGCCAAGCGGGGGTTGCCAAGGGAGGAGGGGGCTCTTTCCTGGGTCCCGCGCAGGGGGTGGTCGGGGATCCGAGCAGGCTGGGGTGGGGCGTGGGGGGGACGCCTGGGAGAGCAGGCCAGCCCCTCGGCGTGGAGGGGAGGCAGGCGGGGGAACAGCATCATCGGTCTCTTCCCTCTTCCCATCTCTGGCCCGCGGCTCGCGCCTCGCGCCAGCCAGAGCCGGGAGGGCAGCACCTCGGTGCTCAGCCCTCGGCACCTGCTCCCCCGTGAGCTTGCGGTCCTGTTTTCCAGTTAATCATCTTCACCCCCAAGTCCCTGCTGCGGCATCCTGAGGCCAGGACCAGCTTCGACGAGATGCTTCCAGGTGGGTGCGGGGACGGCATCTCGGGGGTCTTGGCTGCCGCTCTGGGGGGCTCTGGGGGGCTCTGGGGCTCACGCTGAGGCTGTTGCCACGTTTTTGGTCGTCGGGTGAAGACCTCCGAACACGGCGGCCCCGTGGCCCTCGCCTGGCGCACCGCCCCCTTCGAGGCAGGTGGTCTTGAGGGCCGCCTGCGGGGGCGGAGGGGGCCCGGCGGGCAGGGCCTGCTGAGCCCACCCCCCAGCCCACGGTGGGAGGTGACAGCCCGGCTCCAGCAGAGGTGAACCTCTGGCTTGCCGTGTCTTTTGGTTCTTTGCCCTGGTGACACGCACACGACGTCGCCGCCTGGGCCCTGGGCGCGCGCACGGCTCGGCGACAGCACGCACATTCCCATCGCTGTGCAGCCGCCACCACCGTCGTCTCCAGAACTTTCCACCGTCCAGCCTGACACTCCACCCCGTCGAACGCTCGCTCCCCCTCCCCTGGCTCCACCGTCTCGTCTCTGTCTCCGGGTCTGACCCCCCGGGGGCCCCCATGGGTGGGACTGAGCAGCGTCTGCCCCCCCCCCCCCGCCCCCCGCCCCCCACCCGGGTCTGGTTTCGCTCGGCGCCGCGTCCTCGAGGTTGGCCGTGTCGCGGCAGCTGCCAGAACCCCCTCCTTCCTTTACGGCCGAGCTGTGCCCCTATGTGGACGGACCACACGCTGTGTTTGTGCCTCACCTGTCAGCGGACACCGGTCACCCCCTTCCGGCTGCTGTGCGCGCCCACTGGGAGCGGGGCGTCCTGGTCCCGCCTTCCGAGGAGCGCCGCGCGGGGGCCGCCCCGCTCCGCGTCCCAGCTGTTGCCCACGTCCTGGCCGGCACATGGCGGAGTCCGGGTGTCTTGCGATAATAGCCCCGCCCCGCTAGTGACCACGAAGTGGCATCCCACTCACTCTTCGTGAGTGGCCTCACCAAGTGGGCCTCGATTTAGGGTTCCCGGACCGGTGGTCGGGAAGCTCCTCTTCGCGTCTCACCGGCTGTTCGTGTGTCTGGAGAAACGTCTGTTCAAAGCCGTTCCCCCTCTTCGGTCGCGTCCCATCTGTCGCTGAGGTTCCGCTCTCTGCTGGTGGGGGCGCCTGTCGGACACGGCCTCGCCCTGTGCCCCCCCGTCCTGCGCACTGTCTCCGGCTGAACGGAGTTTCCGTGTCCGGGACGGCAGGGGTGTTCGTCTGTGCCGTCGCCGAGCCTGGGGCTGGGCGGCCGTGCCCTGCCAGCCCTCGCGGGGGTTGGGTTGTGGGCGCAGCTCCGCACTCTCGCCTTCAGTCCGTCCTCACTCCCGCTGGCACGCGGCGTGGGCGTCCTGCCCCGTCCGCGTGGGGGCGCAGTCCCCCCCGCACTGCGCCGGAAGTCACTGACCGCGTGCACGGGGCCGGCCTGGGCTGCGGGACCGCACTGCTGGCCACTGCGCCTCGCCTGCGCCCTCCAGCCTTGCCCTTCCTCCTCACGGTGGTCCCGGGCCCTGGAGAGCCCCTGAGTCCTGGGGGGGGGCTCTTCTGTTTCAGAGGAGAGGGGGGTTTTGACCGGGGTCGTGTTGAGCCCATAGGTGGCTTTGGGCAGTATTAGGTCTGCACAGTAGTGAGCCTTCCAGCCTGTGCCCACAGGTGTCCCCCGTTTCTCAGTCTCCCCGCGTTTTTAGGACCATAAGACGCCCCCAGGTTTTAGAGGGAAATGGGGGAAAGTGTTGAAGCAAAAAACGTGCTGAAACGTTTAATGGCCTGTGGCCCCGTGGCACTGCCGTGAGCCAGGCAGGCTGCATTTGGACTGCAAGACACGCCCCCTCTCCCTCCCGAGTTTGCGGGCAGGAAAAGTGCATCTCACGGTCCCGAAATCGCAGTGATTCACTTCGGGGACGTGTGTGGTTTCGTGTGCAGACTTCCACCCTCCCGGCCGCTCCCTCCCGCGGGTCTGCTTCTCTCTGGTGCTGCCCCAGGGGCGCGCTCGGGCGGGCGCTGTTCGTGGGCGGAAGTGACCCGGGTTCCGGGTGCTGGTGGTCTGTTTTGCAGCTTTGCCGAATGTGTTTATTTTTTCTAACGCGACTTTTTGTGGGATCTTGGGGGATATCCTACACACGAGATCGTGTCATTACAAACCGTTTTGCTTCTTCCTTTCCTGTTCGGATGCCGTCGGTCCCCTCTCCTCGCGGAGCGCTCTGACCAGCGCCTGCGTGCTCCGCTGGGGGCAGGCGGAGGGCGGGCGCCCGTGTCTCGCTCCCAGGCTCCCAGGAGAAGCCGGCGTCTCTGGCCACAGGGCGCTGTGCTCACTGCCGCTTCTCCTCACCGGCCGCCATTCGTGGGGGTGGTTTCCTTCCAGCCCTACGTGTTGCGGTGAACCCCTGGTTTGGACGCAGCTTCCCCAAGTCAGCCTTGCGCCCCCGGGCGAGGCCCCAGCCCTGGGCTTCTGGCCGTGCACCGTGGTTGTGCGGGCGCTTCCGTGTCTGCGAGCGCCCAAGGGGCCTGGACAGGCGGCCCAGAGACACGCTCCTAGACGCGGCTGCCCCTGCCGCCTGGGACGGGCTGTTCTGGGGAGTGGCCTTGCCGCCGCCTGGGCCAGCCTTGCCCTCGGAGGCTGGCGGGGTGGGGGCACCGCCCCCCCTCTGAGCCGCATGCGCTCGCATCCTCCGTGGCTGCGCCCTGCCGTGCGGCCCTCAGCCTGGGTGGGCCCCGCATCCTCAGCCCAGTCTGGGGGGTTCTCTCGCAGGCACCCACTTCCAGCGGGTGATCCCCGAGGACGGCCCCGCAGCGCAGAGCCCAGAAAGCGTCAAGAGACTCCTGTTCTGCACCGGCAAGGTGTACTACGATCTCACGCGCGAGCGCAAAGCGCGGGACATGGTGGGGCAGGTGGCCATCACGAGGATTGAGCAGGTGAGGGCGGCACGGCCGGTGCTGAGGCCCCTCCTCGGGCGTTGGGGTCCGGAGCCCCCGCCCAGACACCGTCCCCCGGCGCCAAGAGCTCCCCCTCCTGACGGCCCCCCTCTCCCCAGCTGTCGCCGTTCCCCTTCGACCTGCTGCTGCAGGAGGTGCAGAAGTACCCCAACGCCGAGCTGGCCTGGTGCCAGGAGGAGCACAAGAACCAGGGCTACTACGACTACGTGAAGCCCCGGCTGCGGACCACCATCAGCCGCGCCAAGCCCGTGTGGTAGGCCGCGGGCCCACGTGGGGGCCGGAGGGCGAGAGGGGCCGGCCTCGGGAGGGCCTCGCCGTCACCGCTCTGTGTCCGCCCCCAGGTACGCTGGCCGGGACCCGGCGGCAGCCCCAGCCACCGGCAACAAGAAGACCCACGTGACGGAGCTGCAGCGCCTGCTGGACACGGCCTTTGACCTGGACGCCTTCAAGAACTTCTCCTAGACGCCGCCAGGCCGCCGGCCCCCACGCCCACCACCGCCCTCGCCCCCCCACTAAAGAAGACGCAGCAGTGCCTAGCGCCACCCACGCCTCTGCCCACGCGCCGCCGCGCACCCCTCGCTCACTTCATTGGGTCGCCGTCCCCTCCCCGTGCCCGGGGCCTCCGAGACTGCTGTCCCCTGCGCAGCCTCCGCGGAGACCGTGGGAGCAGGAGAGGGAGCCCCACGGGCATCCTGGGAGGGTCAGCTGCCCCACTCCCAGCTTCACCCCCCGGTCAGCCTCGTGGGGCTTCCCACCCAGCAAGCGGCCCTACGCCTGCCCCGGGTGGGTCCCTGCTGGGTGGGGCCCCAGACACCCAGCAGGAGCCATCATCCTGGGGGCCCCGTGGGGCAGGGCGGGGCGGCCGGCCAGTCGGCCGGGGAGGGCCTCGGCCTGCCCAGGCTCGGAGAGGGCAGGGCTGCTCTCCGCAGCGTCTGCCTGGCCCCGGAGGGCCCGGGCCCGGCGTGTGTGGGGCCGGAGGGCGGGGTCCCCTCAGCCCGGCCCGGCCCGGCCCGGCCCGCTCTCCCGTGTCCCTCCCGCAGGGGGACCCTGGGGGGCCTTCTCTCCTGGGCCAAAGCTGGTCAGGAGGGGAGGGCCAGGTGGGGCCGCCCCCACCTGTCACAGGGACAGATCTGATTTATTTATTTTGGTTAAAAAAAAAAAGCAAAAACAACTTTGCATTGCATTTGGCTTGACTCATAAACTAAGTTATCCGTGGGCTCGTCTGAGTCATTCTTTCCGGCCGCCGCCCCCTGGGGCCTCCACTCTGTACTGCGTGGCTGGTGTTCCGTGGCCATGTCCCCCCAAGCCCAGGCCCTCGCCTTCCTGCCAGGCCTCCCTGTCACCCGTGCACATCACCTCGGGTGCCCTGCTCTGAGCCTCCCTGCTGCTGGTCCCCTCCCTCACCACCTGAGAATGTACTCGCGTCTGCCCTTGACCAGGCATCCTGGTGGCCCCCCTAGGACATCGGCTGGTTAGCACCCCTGCCCAGAAGCCCAAGTGCCCGTCTAGAGGGGAGCAGGGTCCCTATCCCCCGTAGGGTCCAGTGCCCCATCTTGACAAGAGTCCCAGTCTTGAGCCCACGACAGGCCAGCCGTAGCCCCTGGGGCGGGGAGCCGCACTCAGGGAGCGGCCTGGGTGTGGCGGGGCCCTCTGCCGGCCACCCGTCCGCTAGGCCACTTGCAGGGTCCCCTGTCCTTGAAGCCTCTTCAGAGCCTTCACGTTGTCCTGCGGCTCGCCAACAGGCTCCAGCCCCAGCCTGGCGGAGCTGCCCGTGCTCCCCCGGGACCGGCACGCCCTCCCCGAGTCTGCCCAGGCGGCTGTCCAGTCCTGCCCTCGGCCCACGGGAGGGAGGGAGGGAGGGCACAGCCCGGCCTCCCGGAAGCAGAAGTGTCGTCCCGTCGTCTGTACGTCTGTACGAGTAGGGAGTCATACGATGGATGTCGTCTGGGACCCAGGACTCTGCAGCCAGGGGCCCAGAGTCTCGCCCGCAGGAGATGAGGGGAAGGCCCCACAGGAACCTCGGGGAGCAGTAGCAGCGCAGGAAGCGGAGATGCCCAGGGGCTTGTCGGCCTCACCGCCCCGCGTGGCCGGAGCTGCTGGAGCTCCTCCGGGGGCTGGGAGGGGAGCCGGCTCTGGGACCCAGAGCATCCAATACCGTCCTGAAGAGGAGAACCAAGGAAGAGGACTCCGACTTCCCAATTTCAGAATGTGCTACCAAGTCACAGTGGTCAACCCAGCCAGGTCCTGGCATCAGGGCAGACTGTAGGCCAGTGGGGTGAGACTGAGTCCAGAAATAAACCTTTGCTTTACAACCAAGCGATTTTCAACGTGGGTGTTAAGACCATTCAACGGGGTGAAGAATAGTCTTTCCAACAAACAGCACTGGGACAGCTGAATATTCGTATGAGAGAGAATAAAACTGGACTCAGCTTACACTGTATATGCATAAATTCAGTCGCATTGGATCAAAGACCTAAACATAAAAGCTAAAATCACAAAACTGTTACAAGAAAATGTAAATCCGTGTGGCCCTGGATTAGGCAACCATTTCTTCTATATGACACAAAATGTACAAGTAACAAATGGAAATAGAGATAAATCAGAGTTGGTGAAAGTTGGAATTTTGGTGAGTCAAAAGATACCATCGAGAAAGTGAGAAGAGCCCTGGCTGGTGTGGCTCAGTGGATTGAGCGCAAACCTGCGAACCAAAGGGTCTCTGGTTCGATTCCCAGTCAGTGCACATGCCTGGGTTGTAGGTCAGGTCCCCAGTAGGGGGTGCATGAGAGACAACCACACATTGATGTTTCCCTCCTTCTCTCTCTGCTTCACTTCCCCTCTCTAAAAATAAATTTTTTAATAAATTAAAAAAAAAAAAAAAAATTAACAAAAATGTGAAAAGACAGCTTGTAGAAAATATTCACAAATCATGTATCTGGTAAGGGACTTATATCTAGAATATATTTAAAAATTCCTACAACTCAATAATAAAAAAGACAACAGTTATAAATTACATGTGGTCGAAAACTATAATTTTATTAATGTCACCCCAATAAATTCAATAAAAAATATGGATGACTAATAAGCACATGAAAGGATTTCAACACCATTAGCATCAGGGAGGCAAGCGCAAGTCCAAACCACAGTGAGAAGCCACTCCCTTCACACCCTTTCGTGACCGTGGTGACAAAGACGCAGGGTGCAGGGGGACCGGGGCCTCGGCCCTCCAGCAGCCGTGTGAGATGGTCAGCTGCTGTGGAAGACAGGAGGGAGGCTCCTCGGAGGGCGAACAGAGCCGCGATCCCGCAGTTTCATGTCCGGGTGTCCACCCAGAGAAGCGAGAAACAGGCCCCCCCAGAAAGGTGTGTGCAAAGGTTCACAGAAGCATCATTTGTAACAGCCCAAATGTCCATCAGCTGACAAGTGGTCGCAAAAGCGGTCTGCCTGCAGAACGGAATGTTATTCGGCCGTGCGAAGGCAATGAAACACTGACACGTGAGACAACACTGAGCGACTTCACGCGTGTGGAATGTTTACAACGGGCAAGTCCACGGGGACGCAGCGTGGACTCGCTGCCGCTGGCGGCCGGGGGCGGTGGCGGCCGGCTGCTGACAGGTGCGCGGCTTCTCCTGGGGGCGACGACATGCTCTCACTGACTGTGTGGCGGCTGCACGGCTCTGAGTAAGTGTAACACCACGGAGCTGCACATTTTACGTGCATGGACTGCGTGGCGTGTGAGTTGTGTCTCTATGTTATCAAGAGCAAACAGAGGGAGAGCCGTGGGGCTGGGGCCAGCACGGCAGGCTGTGAGAAGTTCCCCCAGTGTGAGAAGTTCCCCGGGGCGGGGCGGCCACAGGCGGAGGCTGCAGGAGGGCCCAGAGCTCCAGTCTGCACATGAGGGCATTGACTGGTATCAGAGAGAAAAGTGGACACGGCTGACCTGGGGGAGGCGAGAGTCCTTTCCACGTAGAGCTAAGGGCCACAGGAGCCGCTGCAGGGACAGTGTGGGGAACAGGGTGGCTCGGAGGACCGAGCCTGGGCAGGTGCCCTCCCCAGCAGGGAGGGGAGGACAGCCCGCTGACAGCGGGGTGCCTGGGCAAGCGCAGGCTGAGCAGGGTGTCCAGGGAGGGGGAGCGTGGGACAGAGTCCAGGGGAAGGAGAGGTAGCTCCAGGAAACGTGGTGTCCTGGAAGGTTAGTCTGGTCACCAGCTATAGGTGGCCTGGGTGAAGACAGGGGACATCGGCCCCATGAGACCCAGAGAAGACGGTGACAGTAACAGAGGACATAAATTGGGGCCTTAAACAACAGGAGTCCATTTGCTCACCGTCTGGAGGCCAGAAGGTGGAAATCCAGGTGGGCAGGGCCATGCTCCGCCTGGAGGTTCCGGGGCAGGACCCTTCCGGGCAAGTCCAAGTCCTTGGCTGGTGCCCACATCGCTCCGTCTCTGCTCTGTGGCTGTAGCAGGGTGGGCTTGCACGCCCCCTGCCTCTCCTGGAGGCCTTCGAGACCCACGGGGGCGACCCCGGATAAGCTCCTCCTCTCGCAGTCAGCTCCATCACACCTTGGCCGTGGAGGTGACTTTTGCAGGTTCTGGGGACGAGGGTGCGGACATGTCTTTGGGGGCCACCATTCAGCCCCGTGCACGGAGCAAAGTCAGGACACAGGAAGCGGCGCTGGGGCGGAGTGGAGGCTGGCGGCAGGAACTTACCTTTCCTCAGTGCCTGGCCCACAGTATTTCTTCCGTGAACTAATGACCCTCAAAAGAAAGCGAGCACAGGGCTCACACAGCCTGGAGGGAAGGAATTTCAGCAACGCTAAAGAAGGACAGTGGGGCGTCTGTGGACCAATGAATGGATAAAACGTGGTGACGATGGAACACTATTCAGCCTTGAAAAGGAGGGGCGTCTAACACGTGCTGCAACACGGATGAACCTGGAGGACATAAGCTGGTCACAAGGACCAGCACTGAGTGACTGCTCTCTTACGAGGTCCCTGGGAAGGCAGCCGCTGGTGCCAGGAGCTGGGGGAGGGGTGTGCAGGGGCGTTTGATGGGACGGAGGACCGCGCTGCAGGGTGGGGAGCCCTGTGCATGGACGCGGCGGCGGCGGCGGCTGCGCAGCAGTGGGAACGCGCTCGATGCTGCGGGCTGTGCCCTCGCAGGGGTTCAGATGGTAGATGTTATGTGCACTGTGACACAATACAAAATGTGGTGGGTAATCCCGACAACGTGGCCTTCCTAAAGGAGGGCAGGAAAAGCGGAGAATAACTTCAAGGGTGATAATAGCATTTGAAAGGCGCAAACTTAACTAGGGGGAGGGTGGTAATGGGAGGGAAGTGGGGAGGGTTGGGTGGGTGGGCTGGACTGGGAGTAAAAGGGAGAAAACTGTACTTGAACAATGATTAAAATAAGAAAAAAGAAAGGCGCAAACTTTAAAGAGGCTGCGCCATTGGCTACAACTCAAAAGTCCCGACGGGGGTGGCTCTGGAAGAGGGGAGAGCAGCGGGGGGAGCAGCGAGCAGAGTGACAGGTTTGTTGCGGGGTTCCCCCTTCAGGATCCATCCCCCCCCCCCCCCAGCTCCGGAAGAGGCCCACCGACGCTTGCTCACCTCTGCCGGCCCCGCCCCTCTACAGCTCCCGCCTCCCTCACAGATCCCGCCTCCACCGCCCTGGAAGCCCCGCCCCTTCCCACTCCCCCACCCTGACCCCGCCCCCGTCTCTCCCCTAGTCCCTGCCGGCCTGACAGAGCCCTCCTACTCCGCCCTGGCCGCTCCCACCTGGCCCCGCCTTCCATCTGCCCAACCTTGGCAGGCCCCGCCCCTTCTCACTCCTCCACCCTGACCCTGCCCCCGCCTTCTCCGTTCTGGCCCCACCCCCGGCGCCCTTTCTCCAGCTCTGACCGTCCTGACAGATCCCGCCTCCTCCACCCCGGCCACGCCCTGTCTCGTCTTTCTTCCTGTCCCCACCGCCCTGACACACCCCGCCCCTTCTCACTCCTCCATCCCGACCCCGCCCTCGCCTCCTCCGTCCTGGCCCTGCCCAGCCCCGGCAGAGAGCGAGCAGGAAGCGCGGTGGCTCCGTGGACGCTGCGTTTGGAAAGGTGTGGAGGGGGCGGAGTCGCAGGTTGCCCCCAGTCGGCCTGCAGTCCCCGAGTCACCCGCCGTTGGGCCCGCGGCCTCCCCGACCGAGCGTTGGCTCGGGGCTCCACTGCTCTGGCCTGGGGGCGGGGCCGCGCAGCGTCATGCATATGCATGAGCGGCGCGGCAGCTCCATTGTGCCCTGGGAGCGGCGGAGGCGCGATGGCGCGGACGGCGGCGGCCCTTGGGTGGCAGGCGGCGCGCAGGGCGGGCTGAGCGCATGGAGCGGAGCGGGCCTGGGGCCGCGGCGGCGAGGGGCCGGGCCGGGCCTCAAGGAGGTGAGCGGGCCGCAGGCAGGTGCGTGCGGTGGGGCGGCAGGTGCGGCAGGTGCGGGGCGGCAGGTGCGGCGCCTCGGCAGGGCTCCGGAGCTGGCCTGCCGCGCGTGCGTCGTGGTCCCGGACGGCTGGCCAGTGCGTGCAGGCGACCCTCTCACTTGAGCCTTTGTTGCGGCGGCCGTTAGCCGGCCGAGCCCCTGAGGGGTGTGCGGGAGGCTGCCGGCCTCGCCGATCTGCCCCCGCGGTCGCGGCTCAGCGCTGTGGCTGGAGGGCTCACCTCCGGCGGTGCGCGCCCTCCGGCGGTGCGCGCCCGCCGGCGCGGGGACCTGGCCCGGCGACGCTGACCTTTAAGTCCCAGCGCGGATCCGTGGCGTGGGTTCACCCCTTTCCAAACGGAAGACACAGAAGCTCAGGCGGGAGGGAGTCCTGCCCTAGCTTTCTATGATCTGCTACCCCCGCCCGGCGCTCCCCTTCCTGCTCCCCTTACACCCTGACCTCCTCGCAGCTGACCTGCTGCCCCCTGACCTGCTCCGCACCATCCTGCCCCCACACCTGCTGCCCCGTGCCCTCTTTCCTGGTAGTTGCAGAACATGCATGGCGATGTCTGTAAGTCACTCTTTATTTCAGAAGATTTCACGGGGACGCACACAGAGCACGCAGCTCGATATAGAAGACGGGGAGGGTCGGACAGGGTGAACACAGATTCAGCCACCAAATGCTGGTGGGCCACAGCCAGAGGGACTTCATGGGAGAAAGAAGCCTGATAGCAGAAATAGGGCCGGTGAGGGATCTCAGGCTCAGCCAGCGGGTACCGGCCCTGGGGGCTTGTCACACCCGGGGATGGTTACAGGCCAGGATGGGAATCGGGGAAGATGCCTGGGGGGGGAGGACTCATCCTTGGCTTGATCGCAGCCAGGCCTCTCTCAGGGTGTCCATTAACACCTGTGTCCAGGGCAGGAGCCAGGACTGAGGACATAGAGGTGGTCACGTGTCCTTTCCTCTTCCCAGTCCCCATTATATGTAAGTGGAGGCTCAAAGTAGTAAAACCCTTCAGCGGGTCTCAGAAGCGCCCCGCACCGTGGCCATTCGTGCATGCTCCTTCCTGGGTGTCCCTGGTGAACTCTTGCGGTGCTGGGGCCTGGCAGGGGGACAGGGCAGGGCTTTCAGCCCCTGCACTTGTGAGGACGCCTTGGCGTCCTTCTGCTGCACTGGGTCCCAGGGCTGTTTGACTCCAGGTCCCTCTGGAACCAATGCCCTCGGCCTGCTGGAGGCAGTGCGTCCCCGCTCCGAGACCGAGGACAGGGGCTGCCCTGCTGGGGTTGGGTCCTGCTGCTCCTGGGTGACCAGGCAGGGAGGTGGAGTGGAGGGTGGTACAGAGGTGACCAACATAACGTCTGCCTTCAGGTGGCACACGGGAGACTGGGGTGCAGCGGCTGTGAGGTTCCAGAGAAGAGGGATCTGGGCAGTGTGTTCTCGAGGAAGAGGTGATCTGATCCCCAGGAAGCCGGGTGGCCTTCTAGGTGACCTCAGACCAGCTGCTGAGGGGTCCTGGCTTCCAGCTGGAATTGCTACTGCCCAGGCACGGGCCCTGCACACCCCTGGCTCCTTCCCGGCTCCGCTCCAGGCAGGGAGGAGGGGGGAGGGTCTGCACTCACAGCCTCCACCAGCAACCCTTGTGAGGAGCGAAGGGGCAGGGGTACCTGCAGAGGTATCTGGAGACGGTGATCTTTTCTCAGGGAGGAGAGCAGACAGTTCAGGAGCTGGGCAGGCAGGAAGTCGCCGCCCCCACGAACTCAGCCCCGGGGGAACTGGAAATGTCTGTGGTCTGTCCACAGCAGAGAAGCCTGGAGGGTGGAATTCCCCAGGCCCACGTGGTGTGGGAGGCTGCCCTGCACCTGCCCTGTCCCCCTCCTCCAGCCCTCCCAAGGGATGCTGGTGCAGGCAGTTCTGAGTGGAACACATGCAACTCCCCTGCCCTGGGACTCGGCCTCCTCCTGCCCTCCCGCACCTTTTGTTTCTAGGGCAGCAAAGTGGGCCCGGCCAACCCAGCTTGCTCAGGTGCCAGACAGATGGCCAGTGGGCCTCTGTGCAGAGAGGGGGCTGCTGGTGGTGGTGGGTTGTTTTTTTTTTTTTTTAAGATTTATTTATTTTTAGAGAGAGAGGAAGGGAGGGGGAAAGGAGGGAGAGAAACATCAATGTGTGGTTGCCTCTCGTGCGCCCCCTACTGGGGACCTGGCCCACAACCCAAGCCTGTGCCTTGACTGGGAATCGAACTGACAACCCTTTGGCTCACAGGCCGGTGCTCAGTCCACTGAGCCACACCAGCCAGGGTGAGTGGTGGGTTTTTAACTAAGTTTTTATTTTGTGAGACTTCTAGATCCATATGCAGTTGTAAGGAATAGTGTATCCTTCACCTGGCTTCCCCGTGGTAACACCTTGCAGCGGCACGGCAGGACTCTCCGTGGGCACACTCGAGACACAGATATTTCCATCCCTGCGGCCCTGCGGCCCTGCGGCCCCGGTCTCCGCACATTTAACCCCTGGCAGCCACCTGTCTGCTCTCCATTTCTGTAATTTTGTCATTTCAGGAAGGTTATATAAAGGGAATTGGACAGTGTGTAACCTTTGGGGACTGGCTTTTTCCACGCAGCAGAATTTCCCAAGATTCCTGCAGGCTGGCGCCAGGCTCGGCTGGCCCTGTTCATGCCTCTGGTTGGGGAAGCTCAGCCTTGGTTAATCTTCACCCCGGAGGACATCTGGGTTTCCATTCTCCGGCGATTAGGAGTGAAGCTGCTGTGAACATCCACGGACAGATTTTCACAGGGACATCTGTGTGTGTGGGTTGCTGGGTCAGATGGTGGCGGTCGGCTTAGTGCTCTACGGAACCGCCCGGCTGTTTTCCAGAGGCAGCATGGGACGGTCCCGGGCCACTGTCCCACTCCAGTCATCCTGGGAGGTGTGCAGGGACGCCCCACCCTGGCTTTAATTTATGTTCCCAGTGGCCCGTGACGCTGAGCATCTCTTCTGTGCTCGTTTGCCATCTGCACGTCCTCTCGGTGAAGCGTCCCGTGTCGTTTGCCTTTTCCTACTTGGACTTGTTTTCAGTGTGTACTCCAGATCCCAGTGCTGTTGGCTGGGTGGTTTGCAGACAAGTCTCCCACCTGTAGCCTGTCTTCTCGTCCTCTAAGCAGCCTCCCTCACAGAGCACAAGTTTCCACTTTTCTTCTACTGGCCGTGCTTTTGGTGTCAGGTCTAGGAATGCTTTCCTTAGCACCTGGCCCCCCTGCGGGGCCCTGGTATCCCAGTGTAGCCTGCCCTGCCCCCTGTCAGCGGGAACTGAGGAGGGTGAGGCCAGGGGCTGGGGGAGCTGCCTCTGCCTTGCTCCCTGGACCCTGACCCCAAACCCTGCTCCCTGAACCCTGACCCTGAACCCCAAAGCCTGCTCCAAGGGTTCCCCAGCGGCATCTCCACTGCTGTCCTTCCCGCCTGTCTCAGCAGCCAGAGCAGCTGGGTCGCACACCAGCACCAGTGAGAGCTGCGTCCTGCCACCCTTCAGGCTGCTCCCAAGCCAATGAACCCCATGAACCCCATGAAACCTGCCCCGCCCTCCGTACCACACAGGTGAGTGGGCCGCTGCCGTGCACCCCTCCGCTCCCAGCCTCCAGCTCTTCCCAGGCAGTGTCTCCTCCGCACCTGTGGCCTCCGGACCCAGGCCTCCCTGCCGCCCCTGTCCTTGCAGTGATGGTCCCTTCCCGTATGAGGCGCTGCCGTGGCAACAGAGCGCCCCTCAGCCCGCAGGATCGCTGTCGGTGGTCACGACCGTGTGGGGAGTCGGCGGTGCAGCGCAGAGCCAGGTGCGCCTGCCTCCGGTCTCAGCCAGGATGGAGCCAGGGCCCCCTGCGCTCCGGGCCCTTGAGGCTAGTTCTTCCCACACACGTGGCCTCCTTGGACCCCCCCCCCCCCGCCCCGCTGTGAGCTGCCCCTCCTTCTCGCTGCCCCTGCCCACCACCTCACCTGCCGGCATCTCCTTTGTGCACTTTAGAGGTGTCATGTGCAACAAGTCGTTTGGATGGTTCCCTTTGGTGACTCTTGCTTCCTCGCAGGTTTTGGGGAGCTCCATGGGCCCCACGGGGAGCCCCCCCGGCAGCTCCGTGATGCCTGGCATGGCAGGCAGCAGCTCGGCCCTGAGCTCCCCGCAGTGCCTGGGCCAGCAGGCGTTCGGCGAGGGTGGCGCCAGCAAGGGCTACGTGCAGCCGGGGGTGTACAGCCGCGGGGGCTGCCCCGGGAGCCCCGGCTTCAGCACTGGGTGAGCGGGACCCTCCCCGGGCGGGGCAGGTGCACGAGGGCCCTCCAGCAGCAGGCGTCTGGGCGCTGCAGCAGTGGGCATGCCGTCGGTGTGCTTCCCCGCCGCAAGAGCGCCCGCCCCCGGGCCACAGGTGGGGAAGAGCTTCTGGCCAAGCCGTCTGTGTCTCGGGCAGGTATGCAGGTGGCCCCGGGACGCCTGGGGGTCTGGGCCTCCCCTCCCATGTCACACGACCCTCCACGGACTTCACTCAAGCAGCAGCTGCTGCTGCTGTGGCTGCTGCCGCTGCCACCGCTACGGCCACCGCCACGGCCACCGTGGCTGCCCTCCAGGAGAAGCAGAGCCAGGAGCTGAGCCAGTATGGAGCGGTGAGGCTGCAGCCCCTCCCGGGAGGGGGGACTCAGGCGGGCAGGGACAGTGCGGCTGGGCCGGCTCAGGGGCTGCGGGGTGTGCACATAGGGCGCAGGCCGTGAGGACAGGCCCTGGGAGGGAGACGGGCGGGCAGGAGTGAGGTGCTGAGGGGCGGGGGCGCCCACAGCAGTGGCTGGGCCTCATGGTCCCTCTTCTCCTCCCAGATGGGGGCCGGACAGTCTTTTAACAGCCAGTTCCTGCAGCACGGAGGCCCCCGGGGGCCTGGCGTCCCCAGCAGCATGAACCCTGCCAGCATGGGAGGGCTGACCGGCCCCTCCGGCCCCATGGGCATGAGCCCTGCCCGGGCGGTGGGCACAGCCCCCTTGTATGCAGGACAGCGGCTGCCCCCGCACGGGTACCCAGGGCCTCCCCAGGCCCAGCCGCTGCCCCGGCAGGGGGTCAAGAGAGTCTACTCCAGCGAGGTGAGAGTCGGGGCCCTCATCCCAGGCGCCACGTGGGGCCATGGTGAGGTCGGACACCTGTGCGTGAGACGGGGCCACAGACACTGCTCACTCCTTGGGAGCTGGCCCCCCTGATCCCCGTCCTTCCCCTGGGCATCACCTCTTCCTCTTCCAGGTGTGTCCAGGGCAGCAGTGCCTGCCGGGAGGCCAGTACTCACCCGGGCAGCCCCCTGCCCCCTCCTCCTACCCTGGTCACAGGCTGCCCCTCTCCGCCTCTGGCCCGCTGGGACTGCACTACAAGGTAGGGCCAGCTCCCCCAGGCCTCGAGCAGGCTGGGCTGACCAGGGCGGGGGCGCAGCCCGGTGAGGGAGGGCCCTCCGAGAACGAGGCCTCTGTGGCGCCCATGTAAACCCGTCTGAAACCAGCCACCTGTCTCTGTGGTGGCAGTTTCTAAAACTATGAAGTCAGTGCGTGCTCCCTGTGGGTGATTCAGAAAACACAAAAGCGCACGGAGAAGAGAGTAGCAGGCGAGGCCCATGGGTGCGGCGGGCCCCCTGCCCTCAGCCCTGTCCTGGGTCTGGGCTGGGGCCCCAGGCGCACGTGGTCTTCTCTCCTCAGCCGGCGGAGCAGTTCCACGGGCCGGGCGCCAGCTTCGGTGCCGGGAGCGTCGGCTACGGCCAGCCTGGCCTGAGTGGGGTACGGGCAGCCCGCGGGGGGCGGGGTGGGGGGGCTGCCTGGGTGGGCGCGAGGAGAGAGGGCTCCCAGGAGCGAGGCAGTGCGGGCGCCCAGCCGGGCACCCTCAGCGGCCCCGGCTGTTCCCAGGGGTGCTCAGACACGCACTGCGGCCCCCCGCCCCTCCACCCCCGGCTCTGCCGTGACCCTCTGCCCCCCCCCCCCCAGCCGGCCCGCTCCCTCCCTGGCTACCCCGGCTCCCCGCTGCCCGGGAGCCCCACGCCGCCCATGACCCCCGGCAGCGGCGCCCCCTACAGCCAGGATGTCAAGTCTCCCTTCCTGCCTGACCTCAAGCCCAGCGCGAGCTCCCTGCACCCGTCGCCCCCCGGTGAGTGTCGCCCGGCCCTGGGACCCACCCCGAGGCGGCCTCTGCGGGAGGGCTGCGCATGCGCACGAGAAGGCGGGGCCCTGGGGCCGCCCCGGGTCCAGAGCCCCTGTGGTCGGGTCGTCAGCGCCGGCTGGAGCACCACAGTGACCCCCTCGGTCCCCACCCTGCTGAAAGCACCAGGAGCACCTCCTTTCCCGGCTGGGGCGTGTTCTTGGGCTGTATTTTAGGGGGTGCCCGGTGGGGCGACTGAGGCAGGACGTAAGCACGGACAGTCCGGTGACCGCTGGAGGCGACAGCAGAGCCCAGGGTCGCAGGAGAGACGCCAACCAGCCCCGAGCGCTGCGGGGGGGCTGCAGTACCCCCTGACCACCCCCCCCCACCGTGCTGCCCTGGGACTGGGGGCCAGGCGGGCGGCCCTGCGCAGGCGCCCGCTGGCTGACGCGGAGGCCCGCCCCCAGGCGGCGGCCCCTGTGACGAGCTGCGGCTGACCTTCCCGGTGCGGGACGGGGTGGTCCTGGAGCCCTTCCGCCTGCAGCACAACCTGGCGGTAAGCAACCACGCCTTCCAGCTCCGCGACTCCGTCTACAAGACCCTGATGCTGAGGTGAGCGCCGCCCCCGCCCCGCGCCCCCGCGCCCCGAGGCCCCGCCCAGCCCCCGGTCCGGCTCTCAGCGCCCGCCCGCCGTCCTCCGCGCACAGGCCCGACCTGGAGCTGCAGTTCAAGTGCTACCACCACGAGGACCGGCAGACGAACACCAACTGGCCGGCCTCGGTGCAGGTCAGCGTCAACGCCACCCCGCTCTCCATCGAGCGCGGCGACAACAAGACCTCCCACAAGCCCCTGCGCCTGAAGCACGTGTGCCAGCCGGGCCGCAACACCATCCAGATCACCGTCACGGCCTGCTGCTGCGTGAGTGCCCCAGGCGACGGGCCTGTGTCCCGCCCGTGGCCTCCTGGTCCGTCCGTCCCCCAGCCCTTTAGGGAGAGGCCCCAGCTGAGTGGATTGAGCACTGGCTTGAGAACCAGAGGGTCACCTGTTGGGTTCCCAGTCGGGGCACATGCCCGGGTTACATGCCAGGTCCCCAGTAGGGGGCGTGCAAGAGGCAACCACACACTGATGTTCCTCTTGCTCTCTTTTTCCCTCTCTCTCTTTCTAAAAATAAATCAATAAAATCTTTCCAAAATGAGAGAACCCAGTTAAACCCACCCTCGAGGCTTCCAGTTAGGTCCGGGCACGAGGTAGGTGCTCACACCACCATGTGGGAGGAAGCCACGATGGTGGGGGGTTACCCGACCCCACCCGGCCTGGGGCCCAGGCAGCTGAGCCCAGGGGCAGGTGCAGGGAGAGGGGAGCACCGCAAGTGGGCAGGCTCTCAGGGCCCCACGTGATGGTGCGGTGGGGGGTTAGGATGTGGGGCACGGGCAGAGCCCAGGTGGCCGGGCTCAGCCCCCTGTCACCCGGGCTCCCGAGGGAGACAGCGCACCAGCCTGTGCCCTGTGCTGGAGGACACGCTGCTGCTGAGCAGCTGGGGCCTGGCTGGCCCGTGTGCCCCTGACCCGCCCCTGCCTCGCAGTCCCACCTGTTCGTGCTGCAGCTGGTGCACCGGCCGGCCGTCCGCTCCGTGCTGCAGGGCCTCCTCAAGAAGCGGCTGCTGCCTGCCGAGCACTGCATCACCAAGAGTGAGTGGCCGCCACCCCCCGCCCCCCGCCTCCCCGTGGCATCGCCCCTGCCTGTCGAGGCTGTCTCCCCCGGTCAAGGGGTCCAAGCAGGGGCAGTGCTCCGCTCCAGAGGGGCCCTCTCCTCAGTCCTTTCCCTGTCACCGCCAGTAAAACGGAACTTCAGCAGCGGCACCATCCCTGGTACCCCTGGGCCCAACGGAGAGGACGGGGTGGAGCAAACGGCCATCAAGGTGTCCCTCAAGTGCCCCATCACCTTCCGCAGGATCCAGCTCCCCGCCCGAGGCCACGACTGTCGCCACATACAGGTGGGTGTTAACCGCAGCCTTTTCTGGAACAACCTCTAAGTATCTTTTTTTTATCTTCTTTATTTGTTTTTAAGGAGGGGAAGGGAGGGAGAAAAGGAGAGAAACTTCAATGTTTGGTTGCCTCTCACACGCCCCCTACTGGGGACCTGGCTTACAACCCAGGCATGTGCCCCGACTGGGAATCGCACTGGTGACCTTTCAGTTTGTAGGCCAGCACTCAATCCACTGAGCCACAGCAGCCAGGGCAACTGTCTAACTATCTTCAGCAGATGAGATTCAGCACCTGGTCCCGCAGGTGATAGGACAGGCCACCCAGCCAGCAGGCAGGTAGCCCGACTCCTTCCGTCCCCCTCAGGCTGGACTTCTGTTTGTTCTAAGCATAGTGACCTCACCACGTCCCAGGGGTGTGGTGCTAACAGTGTTGAGGATGCAGGATGCAGTGTCCTGCTGCGACCTCAGGAGCACCACCCAGGCCCTCTGCCAAAGCTCTGCGGACTAGCGTGCCTGCCGCCTCTGCGACCACACGAGCGTGCGCACGGCCCTGCGCCCCGTTCTTCCCTTGGACGCCACGTCTGGAGCACGGCTGCCCGACGCTGGCTGTGGCCCAGGGCCGCCTCCTGCCAGTGTGGGCTGCGCGGCTGTCCCCAGTCGTGGTCCGCTGGAACGAGGCTGTCGTGACAGCCTGGTGCACACAGCCCCTCAAACACGCAGGGAAGTAAGCGCTGTGATCCTGCAAGTGCGAGGCTGGGCGCTGGCCCAGTGTGAGAAACGGTCTGTCTCCCCGCAGTGCTTCGACTTGGAGTCCTACCTGCAGCTCAACTGTGAGCGGGGGACCTGGAGGTGCCCCGTGTGCAAGTAAGTGTCCCAGAGACGGACGGCCCTCGCTGGGTGCCAGAGGCAAGGACAGTTCTTTGAGCAGCACCCGAGCCACGGTCGGGGGTCACAACACAGTCATTGGTACAGCTGGGGCCGAGACCTCACGCAGGGCCCCCTCACGCTGGGCGGCCTTGAGCAGAGGAGGGGGCTGGGAGGCGGGGCCAGGCCTCTGAGCCATGCCCCACTTGTTCTCTGCAGCAAGACGGCCCTGCTGGAGGGCCTGGAGGTGGACCAGTACATGCTGGGCATCCTCACCTACATCCAGAAGTGAGTCTCCCTGCAGCCTCCCCGGCCCCTGTGGTCGGCCGAGGGCAGCCCCGGGACGGGTGGGGTGGTGCCCTCCTGGACCCGCGGAGAGGTGCGCTCGGCTCCAGGCGCCATGGAGCCTGCCCCCACCCGGCCAGCACCCCACGGGGCACACGGAGAGGGCCTGGGGCCAGGAGAGGTGGCGGCACGGGCAGTGACCACCCTCGTGCCCCACCCAGCTCCGACCACGAGGAGATCACCATCGACCCCACGTGCAGCTGGAGGCCGGTGCCCGTGAAGCCTGACTTGCACGTCAAGGAGGAGCCCGACGGGCCGGCGCTGAAACGCTGCCGCACCGTGAGCCCTGCACACGCGCTCCTGCCCAGCGTGATGGAGATGATAGCCGCCCTGGGCCCAGGGGCCGCCCCCTTCGCCCCCCTGCAGCCCCCCTCGGCCCCGGCCCCCAGCGACTACCCCAGCCAGGGTGAGTATGGCGCTCAGCCTACAAACGCAGGCAGCCCTGGCAAAGGACCGCGCTCTTCGGCCCGGTCAGCCGCCTGGGAGGGTGTCACTGCTACTCGGGCCGCGCCCGGCAGGACTGGTTGCAGACACGCAGTGCAGAAGCGGCCTCTGCCCAGCCAGTGGGTGTGGCCACAGGGCCTCCAGCTGCAGCTGCGCCCCACCCTCCCAGCGGCTTCCAACAGGGGGCCCTCTGCTGGCACACGCCCGTGGCCTGACCCCATCTGACCCCATGCGATGAGGTAGGTCCCATTCCCGTGGCTTCCTGGCCTGTGAATGATGGCCACAGGGTAGGCTCGGGAAGGACGGGGCTGCTGGGCACTGCGGCCTGCCCCCTGAAGGCCCCTCCCAGGACCTGGCTCTCCTCCCTCAGGCTCCAGCTTCCTGGGACCCGGGACCTTCCCCGACTCCTTCCCGCCCACCACACCCAGCACCCCGATCCTTCCTGAGTTCACCCCGGGGCCACCCCCGATCTCCTACCAGCCCGACATTCCCGGCAGCCTCCTGACACCAGAGAAGTCGGCTCCCAGCCTCCCGGGCCAGGTGAGCGACAGGCCGAGGGCCCGGGGCACCACCCCCCGAGGGAGCCCTGGGCCCTTTTACCAGGTCCTCCTCTCCCTCCTCAGATGGCACCTGCAGGTCACCTGGACCCGGCCCACAACTCTGGACCACCCGGACTGCACACCCCCGCACTTGGAGGCCCCCCAGGGGCGCAGCTGCACCACCCTAACCCTCTCCCGGTGACCCGGCAGCCCCTGGGTCCCGTGGGCTCAGGTCCTGTCGGCGAGCTGGTCTTCCATGCTGCCACAGGCGTGATGGGGCCCCCCTTATCTGGGGCAGGGGAGGCCCCAGAACCAGCCCTGGATGTGAGTACCATGTCCACTGCTGGGGGTGCTTGGGAGCCTGGTTGGGGGCTGGTCTTCTGTTGTCGCGGGTGCACACGCTCACGCCTCTGTTGTGACGGCCGAGAGGAGGCAGCAGGCGGCCTGTGCGGAGCCCCGGGGATCAGGGCTCCCAGCTGAAGGACACAGCCCGGGCTTCCGAGGTCCCACACGAACACCACCAGAGCAGCTCTAAGCAGGAAACCCTAGGGACTGGGGGCCCTAGGGACTGGGGGCCCGAGCTCCCGCTCGGCCCGTTCACAGTGGGGTCCCCCTCACAGGCCTGTGCTCCCCGAGGCTTGCAGCAGCTCAGCCCTGCCTGTTCCGTGGTGGCTGTGGGAAACGTGTCAGGGGTTCCTGGTCACAGAGGCCACATGCAGGGAGAGCCCCACACCGCCCGGGGCTCGGGCTCGCCTGTGGAGGGGAGGGGCGGGGCGGCCCACATGCCCCACCCCCCACCCAGCTGGGCTGCAGCCCGGCTGCTGGAGGTGGGTCTGAGGCCAGTTTGCTGTGTCCTCAGCTGCTCCCAGAACTGACCAACCCGGATGAGCTGCTGTCGTACCTGGGCCCGCCCGACCTGCCCGCCAGCAGCAGCGACGACCTGCTCTCTCTCTTTGAGAACAACTGAACCTGCCGGCCGCCCAGAGGCGGGACGGGTCGCCGACGTCACCGCGCCCTACCTTCCCGCCCGCCCGCTCCCCAAAGCTCACCTGGGGCCACTCATCCCAGAGCTGCAAACAGCCCTGCCCTGGCGGGAAGGGACTGTGCCAGCCCCGCCCGCTGGCAGCTGTAGGAGGTTCCAGGGGCCCGGCCCCCCATGCCCCGCCCCCTCAGCCGCCTCCCACACGAGCGCACCCTCCGCCTGCCGCCCCCAGCGGTGACCCCAGTGGTTCCCGAGGGGGCGGGGCCCCCTCCTGCCCAGGTGCAGCCGCAGGCACCTCCTGGGGACATCGTCGCCCCCGCAGCCCCGAACTGTGACCGTGCAGCCCTGCCGCGTCCCAGCGCCGGGTGGGGGCGCCCGCCTGCCCGCGTCTCGATTAAAGGACTCCCATGGTGGCCCGGGTCCTCCTTGCGCGCCACCCCGCCTCCGTGCATTTCCTCATCCCTGGAATTTTCCAAGTTGGCTGCGGCCCGAGAGCTGGCCTGCTGTTTTGTGAAGTGTCGCTCCAGCCGGGAGACACCTCTGCCACCTTGTCTCCTCGCGTGGGCGTGCTGGCAGGAAGCCTGGGGTGGGGCCCTCCGCCCCGCTGGCCGCCTGATGCCCCAGCCCTGCTTCCCTGGCGGCGGGGGGGGCAGGTTTCAGTCCCGGCTGTTGACGTTCTGGGACCCTCACGTTGACCTGCTCCTCCCGCTGCTGCCTGTTTCCGGCCTGTCTGGCCACAGGGGTGGTCGCGGACCTCCGGGGCTGCGGGGCACACCCAGAGTCCAAATGGGGGCCAGGAATCCCAGCCCAGGGATGAGCGAGGCCGCCAGGGGGACAGGCCCCGCCCAGCACTTTCTTACCAGCAGCCCCGGCCCTGCCCTCCGGGGACTTCAGAGCTGGACGGGTGCTGGCGCCCCAGCCTGCTGCCCTGCCGGAGCTCCTTGCGGGGGCAGGCGCGGGGCCGGGGGTGGAGAGATCAGAGCGCAACTGCAAGGCGGCAAACCACTTAGAGTCCTCAGAAAGGGCTGAGCAGTGACCGCCGCGGTGTGGGTGCCCTGACATTGCTGTGGACGCCCCCTCTCACAATGCAGGCCAGAGGCCAGGGTAGGGGGCCCTGCCTTAGGTGCATGTCCAAGCTTGCGCGCTGTGCATTTCATGGGGTTCCTGTGCCTGCTTCTGTGGGGCGGGGGAGCCCGAGAAAGAGCAGAGCAGTGACTTCACGGGTTTTCACCTCAGTGTGCACCAAACATTACGCAATTAAACAACAAAGCCAGTGCCCTGGCTGGGTAGGTCGGTTGGTTGGAGCGTGTTCCTAGTACAGCAAGGCTGTGAGTGCAGTTCTCAATCCGAGTGCACACGGAATCAACTGATGAACACGTCAGTAAGTGGGACAGCAAATCGATGTTTCTCTAAGATCAATTTTCTTAAAGGTTTTGATTACTTTTTAGAGAGGGGAAGGGAAGGAGAAAGAGAGGGAGATAAACATCAGTTGGTTGCCTCTCCTGCGCCCCCTACTGGGGACCTGACTTGCAACCCAGCCATGTGCCCTGACTGGGAGTCAAGCCTATGACCCTTTGGTTCAAAGTCCAGCACTCAATCCCCTGAGCCACACCAGCCAGGGCTAAAATTAATTTTAAAAATATTTTTTTAAGCCAGCCAGTCTTAGACCACTCCACACAGCAGCACAAAGCACATTCTCCATAGCGGGCCATGTGTTAGGCTGCAAAGCAAGTACCAATAAGATTGAAATCATGCAAAGTACCTTCTGTAAGCACAGAGGAATGAAGCTAGATGACAATAATAGAAGGGAAACAAAAATTCACAAATACATGGAAATTAAACAACTCTAAAAGCCAAGGGGTCAAAGAGGGAGTCACGGTGATGAGAGACACTTTGTGGTGAGTGAGAACAGCACAAACACATGAGCTGGGTGGGAGCGGTGCTAGAGGGAAATCTGCCGCTGTGAACGTCTGCATTAAAAAAGAGGTCCCGAGTTAAAAATCTAACTCCTGAAGGAAGGAGAGAAAGCATGCACTGGATGCAGAGGTGGACCAGAGACCAAAGAAGCAATAGTCAACATAAGCACAAGTGTTTGCAGAAAGAGCAGACCTGTAGCTATGCCAAGGAGACACAAACGCCTACGTTAGCGATGGAAACGGGAGCTAGTACGGGCCTGACAGGAGTAAGCATAAGAGGACACTAGGAACAATTATGTGCTGATAAATCAGATAACCTAGCTGAACAAATTCCTAGAAACATGCAAAACACCCAAACTGACCCAAGAAGAAATAGCAGCTGAACACTTCAGTGAGTGAGATGAAGTCACTGACCACCCCCCAACCCAAACCCCAGGACCACCAGCTCCTCTCCCTGCAGGAGGAGCTCCCGTCCCCGCTGCCTGGCTCTCCCCACTGCAACCCCCTTCGGTGACCACTGAGACAGTCTGTCCCACCTGCCACGGAGTCGAGTCGAGGCAGGGTGAGCCTGTGGCCCGGTGGGTTTAACGAGAGAAGTCCGACAATCCGTGCATCAGGCACCGGGGGGGCCTCAGTGAGAGCAGAAGCCGGGCTGCACCAGGGGTCAGGGCGGGCACTGCAGACCGTTCTGGAGAGTGAGCCAAGAGCGGCAATGGGGCACGGGGAGGGGCGGGGGAGAGGGAGCTGCAGGAAGAGGAGGGGAGGGCGGAAGAGGGACACGGAGGCCAGCTACCTGCGAGGGGCCTGGTGAGATGGGGACAGGAGAGGGTGGGTCAGGGGAGGAAGCAGGGTGTGGGCAGGTGTCCGCAGATGTAGGGGGCGGGTGGGGACTGAAGTGGAGCTGCCTCATGCCCTGGACGCTCTCCTGGGCTGACTGAGTGTCCAGAGGAGGGGCACCCGCTGGGCTGGCCGGTCACAGGGCCTGGGCCCTTTCACAGCCTTGGACGGCATGCTCCAGAGTCAGCCTCTGGTCGGCTCTCTCCTCCCGTCAGCCGCCTGCGGGGTCACAGGCTTCATGTGTGTGTCTACCCGACTCACTTGTGCTGAGTCCGGGCGTTGCAGACGCTGTGACTCTGGGTGACTTCCCAGCCAGGACCAGAGGGTTGAGCTTTGCTGAGCTTCTCAGCCGGGTTGAGCACGGGCACTGGGACAGGCGAGGAGCAGGCCGAGAGTGAGTCCTGGAAACACCAAGTACAGTGAGGGGGAGGGTGTGCAAGGAGAAGTGTCCACCCAGAGGCTGGGGCCAGACTGTGAAGGAGCTGCTTCCGTCCTGTGCTCTGGGCCCCGCCCAGGGGTCCTCCAAGAGGACTGTGTAGCGTGGGAGTTACACCGTCAGACGGTTCTGAGATGTCCACTCTGGGTGGCAGGCCAGGAGCCTGGTAACCAGGCCGCAACAGGCCGAGCGAGCGCTGGGGCAGGAGGGACGGGGTGGTGTGGGCAGCGCTTGGTGCAGAAGTCACCTGGGATTGCAGCCGTGGGGGTGGACGAGGTTCCCCCACGGCAGGTGTGTGCGGGACAACACAAGGTCAACTGCGCAGCCATGACACGGGAGAAATCTGGGGAACGATTCCACGGGGAAAGGCCAGAGTTGGGGAAGGGAGGGAAAAGAGTCAAGGCCATCGAGGAAGCTGTGGAAGCAGAAGGTGGCGCACGTGCCCGATGGAGGGGGAGACCCGGCCTGGGAAGGGCCCTGGGCTTAGCGACGGTGATGTCACCGGCTGCCCCAGCAGGGGCAGCGTCCCCCCAGCTGTGAGCAGAAGCGAGGTGGCAGGAGTACCAAGCTAGGCCCTGAAGAGACAAGTTCCCCTCTTCCAAAGCAGTGATTGTATGATTTTGGATAACCTGATTTACTTTCCCTGTTACATTCTCTCTTGCTCAGAGTTTGCAATGTAAGCGTTTGTGTACAGTATGCTACATGAACGCAGTTCTGACCGCTGGGATGGAACACCTCCTTCGAGCCAGGTCCCAGTGCTGTTGAATTCGCTCGAGTTTGCTTTTTTGTCTGAATCGTCCGAATAAGGCTCCGGCAGCCCCACATTCTGGAGGTTCTGTGCCGGCTGTTGTCTTACTCAGTTTGGGAGTCCAGTTCAATACATAATGCCAATGAAGGCTCCGCTCCAACATCCACTCTCCCTTACCAAGGAAAACTCGCGCTTGCTTTCTGAGAGTACACACCGTGTGCCTGTGTGGACAGTGAGCAGACCGAGGTCCTGGTTGTGCTGATGAACAGCAGGCAGGACGCCGCAGCAGTCGCTGGGTGGATTGAGCGCGGGCCTGCGACCCAGAGTCACAGGTTCGATTCCCAGCCAGGGCACACGCTTCGGTTGCGGGCCAGGTCCCCAGTAGGGGGCGCACGAGAAGCAACCACACACTGACGTTTCTCTTACCCTTCCCCTCTCTCTAAAGATAAATGAATAAAATCTTTAAGAGAGAGACACTAGTATGAGGAAAGTCAGCGGATGATTCTACTAGGCACTCCTGCATTCGCATTCGTTCCTTCACCTCGGGCGGGCCGGGGCGAGGCGCCCAGTGCGCTGAGGTTCCGAGTGGAAGGGAGAGAGGTTGGAGTTGGGCGCGAGGGCTTTGGCCCCTTTTGGTGTCGGGTGCGGGCGAGCAGCTTCCTCAAGGTCACAAGGCACCAGGTGATGGATGGGGAGGCAGGGACGGGGAAAAAAAAACAAAAACCCGTGTCCGGGCCCAGGGCCGGCTTTGCCAACACTCGGAGCACGCCCAGAAACACCCAGGCCCCGCGACGCCCGCGCCTGTGACTGGGGGCCGTGGAGGGCCGTGAGCGAGCCACGCCGCGCTCCCCGCGCAGGCGGACGAGCCGGGACGCGCCGGGCTTCTCCCCAACCCCAGGCTCGCTCGCTTCGCCCCCCGCGCCCTGCCCCGGTCCCGCAGACGCTCGTCAACGCTGTGAGCGCTGCGGCTGCGTGGCGGGGTGGGCGCACGTGCGGGCTACCGCCATTTGCAGGCTTTCCGAGCGGAGCCCTGGGGTCGCGTAGGTGCGCCTGGCGATAAGAGCGTCACTGCCTGTGCCTGCGGAAACCAGCTTCAGAACTGGGGCTCCGTCCCTCGCCAGGGCGGGGGCCCGGCAGGGCACGACCTGCTGGCGCAGGCGGGGGCGGCGCCCTCCGCGGTGGGGCCGCCGGGCTGCGCCGCAGTGTCTTCCCCCGCGGGGGACGCAGGCAGGCGGGGAGCGCGAGGTATTTTCGGAAAGTAGGGCGTTTGGGAAGCATGTCGTCACCGCGCGGCCCGGGCGGCTGCGCGGCCTCTGCAGCTCGCGGGGACGGCAGTGCCTGAGGCCACCCGGGCCCGCGGCCGCGCGGCGGAGCCCGGGACCCCGAGCGACCTTGGCGCGCCGCGCGACCTTGAAACCTGAGGTCGCCTCAGTGGCCCCCTCAGCGCAGTGGGAAGGACGCTCGGGCGGAGGGCGG